AGGAGCAGGGTGGTGGTGCCTGTGGAGCGTGGAGGGTGGAATAGGGAGAGAGAAAGAAGCTAGAAGAGGGAAAGAAAGGGAGACAAAAAGGCAAGACGTAAATAGTATTAGTAATTGCTGCAATGTATATAATTATCAATTAATGGAAGCAAAAGTATAGAAGAAATATACAGAGTTAAAATTGGAGAGGGGAAGTAGATCTTTTGGACCCAGGAAACAGAGCTGAATCATGGATCCCAAGGTTGCAATATTCTGACTTAGTCCTTATGTATTTCTTGAGGGTTACATTGACAACCTACCAGTGATTTTCAGTGGCACCCTTGCTGCATTTCCAGGTGGCCAAAGTTTGTTTTGTTTTTTTTGGCCAGCTCCTCCTAATTCTGTCCCACCTCAAGGCTCTTTTTCTCTAACCTCGAGACACTCAGCACCCTCACACTGAACTCTGGCTTGCCAGAAACCTTTTGATATTCCCCACCAATCCTTTCTCTTCTTTCCATCCATCCCTAAATCAAGTCGTAATCCTAGATTGCAGAAGGAGGTAGTTGGCCTAATTATCTGATTAAAATAATCAGATAGAAATAAGTCTTAATTTCTGTCCAAAAGATATACTTTTAAAGGAGGAGGTTGTTAGCTCTAGTGGATCTCTATGTGTATTTTCTGGTTCTTAAGTAAGTGGCTTTTCATCAGATTCCCAGAGGAACCCATTCACAGAGCAATTAAAACACATTAATCAAACTAGAATAAATGCATATGGGAACTATTTTTGACTGGGGTACATATGTGAGTTCCTGGTCTACTTGGATGAACCCTCATATACTACTCCCAGCAATCATTAATCTTAAACCTTCCTCCTCCTCCAGCCCCAATTTCCTTCTCACTTTTACAAACAACATAACTCACAATAGAATAAGGTACTGCTTTGGGAGAGTGAAGGGCAGAAACACAGTGAGCAAGTGCAGGTTCCAAGAGCCAGACAATCTTACACAAGGAATATAAAATAAATTAAAATAATAACATAAAATTATGAAATGAAATAAAAGTTATATGTACAGAAATATATTAATTTTAATTAAAAAGTTCAAGTATAGAAAAGTTGCAAGAACAATACAATGAACTACCATATACCCTTTACCTAGATTTATCAATTTAACATTTGGCCACATATTTGCCATATCTTTGCTAAACCATCTGACAGCAAGTTGCATATATCAAAACTTTTATCTCGAAATACTTCTGTGTGTATCTCTTAATAAGGGCACCCTTTTCCATAACCACAAAACAATTAAAAAATTCAAAATGCTTAACATTTAAATAATGTTCTTCAGTCCTATGTTGAGTCCAACACTTTGTGACTCCATGGACGACAGCATGCCAGGCTTCACTGTTCTTCACTGTCTCCTAGAGTTTGCTCAAACTCATGTCCACTGAGTCAGTGATGCCACCCAACCTTCATCCTCTGTCCCCCACTTCTCCTTTTGCCCTCAATCTTTTCCAGCATCAGAGTCTTTTCCAATGAGTTGGCTCCAAACATCAGGTGGCCAGAGTTTTGGAGCTTCAGCTTCAGCATCAGTCCTTCCAATGAATATTCTGGGCTCATTTCCTGTAGGACTGACTTGTTTGATCTCCTTGCAGTCTAAGGGATTCTCAAGAGTCTTCTCCAGCACCACAATTCGAAAGCATCAGTTCTTCAGCATTTGTCTTCTTTATGGTCCAACGCTCACATCCATACATGACTATAGGAAAACCATAGCTTTGACTATATGGATCTTTGTGGATAAAGTGATGTTTCTCCTTCTTAATATGCTGTCTATGCTTGTTAAATAATATTTAAATAATACTATTATCTAATATGTGATCCCTATGAAATTTTAACAGTTGTCCTGAAAATATTCCTAACACTATTCTCCCAATCCAGGGTCACACATTGCCTTTGGTGACATGTCTTTTTAATCTCTTAAATCTAAAACAGTTCCACAGTCTTTCAGGACACTGATTCAGGCCAGTGGTTAGATAGACTGTTTCTCAATTCGCATTTTCTTCTGATAGTTTCTTTGTGATTATTTTCAGAACACGTATCTTTGACAGGAATACTACAAAAGAAATGCTGTATCCTTCTCAGTACCTCACATCCAAGAGGTACATCATGTCATTTTATTCCATTAATTGTTAATTGTGACATTAACTTTGATCTTTTAGTTATGGTGCTGTCTGTCAGATTTCTCCACCATGGAAGTACTGTTTTTATCCATTTGTAATGAATAAGAAATCTGAAGATGCTTTCAGACTGTGTAAATATCATGTTCCCCAGCAAATTTGCACCCAATGATTTTAAAATCTGTTGATAATTCTATCTGAATCAATTAGTAGTATAATGGTTGCAAAATGGTGATTCTCTAATTTCATCATTTCTTCTACGTGTATTAGTTGACATTCCACTATCAAGAAAAATAGCCATTTCTCCCCCTTGTATACTTCTTTAACATTGTAAGAGACAAATTGCTAACATCTGTTGGATCGTCAAAAAAGCAAGAGAGTTACAGAAAAACATCTACTTCTGCTTTATTGACTACGCCAAAGCCTGTGACTGTGTAGATCACAACAAACTGTGGAAAATTCTTAAAGAGATGGGACTACCAGACCACCTTACCTGCCTCCTGTATGCAGGAGTAAAAGCAACATCACTATGCAGGTCAAGAAGCAACAGTTAGAACTGGACATGGAACAACAGACTGGTTCCAAATCAGGAAAAGAGTGTATCAAGGCTGTATATTGTCACCCTGCTTATTTACCTTATATGCAGAGAAATATGGAGAAATATCAATTATGCAAAATGCCAGGCTGGATGAAGCACAAGCTGGAATCAAGATTGCCAGGAGAAATATCAGTAACTTCAGATATGCAGATGACACCACCCTTATGGCAGAAAGTGAAGAAGAACTAAAGAGCCTCTTGATGAAAGTGAAAAGAGGAGAGGGAAAAAGTTGGCTTAAAATTCAACATCCAGAAAACTAAGATCATGGCATCCAGTCCCATCCCTTCATGGCAAATAGATAGGGAAACAGTGGAAACAGCATTTATTTATAATAAACAGATTTTATTTTGGGGGGCTCAAAAATCAATGCAGATAGTGACTGCAGCCATGAAATTAAAAGACACTTGCTTCTTGGAAGAAAAGCTATGACCAACCTAGACAGCATATTAAAAAGCAGAGACATTACTTTGCCAACAAAGGTCCATCTAGTCAAAGTTATGGTTTTTCCAGTAGTCATGTATGGATGTGAGAGTTGGACTATAAAGAAAGCTGAGTGCTGAAGAATTGATGCTTTTGAACTGTGGTGTTGGAGAAGACTCTTGACAGTCCCTTTGGACTGCAAGGAGATCCAACCAGTCAATCGTAAAGAAAATCAGTCCTGACTAGTCATTGGAAGGACTGATGTTGAAGTTGAAACTCCAATACTTTGGCTACCTGATGTGAAAAACTGACTCATTGGAAATGACCTTGATGCTGGGAAAGATTGAAGGCAGGAGGAGAAGGGGATGACAGAGGATGAAATGGTTGGATGGCATCACTGACTCAATGGACATGAGTTTGAGTAAGCTCTAGGAGTTGGTGATGGACAGACAAGCTTGGTGGGGTCGCAAAGAGTCAGATACGACTGAACTGAGCTGAAACACTGTAAGAATAAGTAAGCACCTGTGGATTGTTTTTTTTAAATTCATTGTTATAGTCCATTTCCATCAGTATTCATTCATGATGCTCAAATTGTCCCAGATGGGTAAGTGAAGGTAACTTCAAACAGGCTCCTGTTTCCTTTTCACATATCCACATTCTTTGAAAATCTTGCTTTCTGGGACAAGACCTTTCAAGTGCATTTTATACTTTCCCCCTCTGTCTGGGAATAAAGCCATTTCTCCAGAGTCTGTTTCCTTTTATTCAAAATATTAAAATAACGCTGTACCTGTTTCCCTGGGTCAGCATATGAAAGATCGGTGTGGTGATTTGCTATCCTAACTTTATCATTACCAGTGTGACCTTGGCAATTTCCTTCGTTCCCAAGGGGTTGATTCCTCATCTGAAAAGAAACTGGATTAGGTAAGTATTTCTTAAGCTTTTCGCGGTCACCAACACATTAAAAAGCTATATTCCCATCTTCCCGGAGGCAAGCTCAAAGAAGCATTAAAAAATTGCACACATTTTAGGAGTCTCGAGCCCCAAAGCCCATTTGAGGCTCCAAATCCCTGGATTAGGTGATCTCCAAGGCCTACTTCACCGCTGATAAACTGTTGAGTGTATAAGGGTCCGTGCGAGTGTCAGAATGAACGCGAAGAGACATCAAATTTGGAGGGATTTATATAGAAACAGATGAGAAAAAGATACAAAGAAAGGAGCCTGTGAGCAATGCATTGCTCAGCCAGAGTTCTTCGCCCGTGCCAAATTTAGGAAGAACAGTAGTCACAGGTGAGAGGTTTTGGCGGGAAGGTCCCCCTGGTGGGCGGGGAACGCCGGGGCCTGGGAAGCAGACGCCCGGGGCGGGGGAAGAAGACCCAGGGCCAGCCCCAGTCGCTGCAGCCCTCCGCGCCGTCCACCAGGGCTCGCTCTTACCCTTCGTCAGGGTGGCCGAGGAGCGGGGCGGGCCAGGCGGCTACCCCGCCCCGCTCCTCAGCGAGGCGGCCGCGAGCTCGGAGGGCGCAGGAGCCCGGAAGGAACGCGCCGTCCAGGCCCCGCCCAGCCGCCCTCCCTCGCGGCCGCCCGCCGCCGACGTCGGCGGGGCTCCGGTCGCCATGGTGACCAATCGAGGCCCGGTCCCGCCCCCGCCCCTCTGTCCCGGCCCCCTGACGTCGGCGCACGTCAGCGGCGGCGCGCGCCTGGCTGGGCCCTGCGGAGCGGGAGGGACGGAGTGCAGGAGAGAGCGGAGCCGCCGTCGCCCGAGCGGAGCCGCGCAGCCCGCCCGCCCGCCAGTCCGCCCGCCAGCCGGCCAGTTCGCGCTCCAGTCCGCCGTGCCTCGTAGTGGGGCCCAGCATGGTCATGGCGGATGGCCCGAGGCACTTGCAGCGCGGGCCGGTCCGGGTGGGGTTCTACGAAATCGAGGGCACGCTGGGCAAGGGCAACTTCGCCGTGGTGAAGCTGGGGCGACACCGGATCACCAGGACGGAGGTGCGGCCCGGGGCTCGGCGGGAGCGTCCGAGGCGAGGGTTCGGGAGACGAGCTATTGGCCAAGAGGGGCGGCTGCCGCGGGGGGCCTGGGCAGCTCCGAGAGGCCGAGTCACCGGCTCAGACGAGAGGGCCTGGGAGTGTGAGGACCCGGGGAGCTCCAGGGGTCGGCGAGCGCCACGGGGACCGGTGCCGTGTCGCCCGGACCCGGGTGTCGTCCGATTTGGAGAGCCGGGCCGCCAGGCGCTTTGCCTTCTCTGGGCCACCCCTGGGGGCCCCCCGGAATTTCGCCCAAAGCCTCGCACCCGTGGCCGTGACCTGGTCTGTGGGCCTCCGCTCCGGAGCCCAAGTTCCGCGTCTTCCCGGCTTTCAGCTGGGGGTGGGGTGGGAGGGGAAGTCTCCGCGCTCCTGGGCTGCGCGGTGAGAGGCGTCGCCAGCCCGGCCGAGGGGACCGCCTGCGCCCCGACGCCCCGGACGGGGCTCCGCGAGGCTCCGGGGAAACCGCGCCGCCCCCTCCCCGGCCGCTCGAGGAAGGGGGGCCCCGAGGGCCGGGAATGCCCGGAGCGCCACGGTCCCACCTTCTCTCCGCTCCTGGTGCTAGACAGTATCTCTGACCTAGTGTCAGGCTCGCTGGATCTCGTGCCTGAGGCATTTCCACCTTAGTACTCCAGACAATAGAGCCGGTTTAAAACGGTCATCTGGACATTGGCGCAGTTGGTGGGGTTGGCCTTTCTTATGCTAGGTGATTTCTTTACCAGGTGTGTGTTCTGGCGGTGACTACGCGTTCCTTAAGCCGCGTCAGATTCTACCTGTCTATTCTAAAAGCCCTCGGCTGCTTCCTGACGGGGAAGCGAGCATCTCCCCCCCACCCTCCATCGCACATTCTCACGCACCGCACATATTTTCTCGCAAGTCTCTGTTCTTACCTAACCCGCCTCCCCTTCCTTTCACCGCCTCAAGCTGCTCTCCTCAGGGTCTCTATTTTAAGACGTGCAAATTAAATACTTTAGAAAAACGGTAGAAACAAAACCATTCTTTAGAATAAAACCTTGTTTTTGACGTACTCTACTCTGCCTTGTTGTAGTTGTGTTTTTTTGTTTTTTTTTTCTTTTTTCCCTTTCCACTTTTCATCCGGTTCAGCGTTTCTCCTTTTTAGTGCGAAGGTACCAGAGTTTGGATATGAAATAGCAGGATTCTTTTTCAGAATGGCTGTGTAAGGTGAAGGGCATCGGAAAACTTGAGTGATTTTTGTAGCTGTTGTTCTTAGAAGTTTTGCTTACTGTGAAGAAGTCCGTTTCCAAAAAGAAGGGGCATATGTCATTGTGTCATCCTCATTTTTCGTCTTGCCCTGCTGATCCTGACTGAGGCAGCCGAATTCCGACCATTTTTGGGGGGTTTTTTTTTAGCATCAGGGCCAAGGTCACAAATTTTCCTCTCACAAATTTACCAGAGTTAGCAATTTAAGTTTTTAATGTAAATAATGTGACTGTAGTGAGATTACTTAATCTGATCCCAGTATTTTTTAAAACGAAGAAATTGATTGCATTCCTCTAAAGAAACATGGCTTAATACCATGCTGTTTGCCCTTTAGTTACATGAAAAGAAGACATTTTTAATGTGTATTTTTTTATAAGTCCTTGCTTAATGACTCCAGAAACTAAACAGATTTCATAGTTAGGAAGAGCTTCTACAGAACTTTTGAACTGTATTGTTTAGTGGTTGAATTCCAAGCCCATCAGCTCATATTATTTTTTTCTCATCAGTTCTTATCATTGTTAGTTGAAATATTTGTCAGCTGTTACTTATTAGTATATAGTATATATTAGTATATAGTATCTATTTAAGAATTACTTAAGTAGAGCTGTAAGTGACTGACACTTTCTTGAGGTTGTCATCTCAAACCGTGGTACTTTTAAACTGATCTCTCTTGTAGAGCTAGGGGGCAGTGTGGAGTAGTATCATGGTTTGGCTATCGGTGAGATCAAGGCATTTGTAATTGAAGGCACAGGTCAGATCAAGAAAGAGCACTCAGATCCTGAACTGTGTGCGTGGTTTACATTTGTAAAATCATTTCACGTAGAAGCTCAGATCCTGAACTGTGTGCATAGTTTACATTTGTAAAATCATTTCAGGTAAAAGCTAACTTTCTAGTCCATAGAACCCATCTACTGTTGCTTTTTCTAAAGAAGGTGTTCTTAACATATAAAAAGAATCAAGTGTGAAGTTTAAGATGGGTGAGTATGAGTGCGGTAATTTGGTGTAACTGGAGGTGTTACAGATAAGAGGAGTGAGGGAAACAGCAAGGCATTAATGAAGAGAAAAGTTCCTGTAAATCTCAAGTTTTATAAAGTTACTCTGTGAATTTTTGTGGTAATTTGTCTTAAGAATTATTTAGCATAGATAACAGTTGTTTCTTACTGTAGTATGCTATTTGTTAATGAGGATTTTTAAAGCAGTATTTGTTGTTTTTATTCACTGACTGTTTATCTTTGGTAAGCACAATAACTCCTCAGATATTATAACATGGATAGTAGAAACTTTAAAGCGTTATTTAACATCGTTTGAGTTTCTCATCGCTGAACATACTAATTACAGCAAGAACACTTAATATGGCATAAAGAACAATATTGGCAAAATATCATGATTATACTTACTGCTTCGAAAAGTTTCTTCAATGTAGTATGCACTATCACCAGTGTAAGTTTGTGTGTTTTAAAATGTAGAAGTCTTTTTTCCGAAGTTTGAACATCAGGCAATTTTTAGGGTTTAGTTTAAATATTTAAGTAATGAACAGTTGGGCCCCCCCTTTTTTTAATTGACTTTTGTCTGTCTCTTGTTTCGTATCTCCAAAATGATGTATTTTTACAGAGCTTGGGATATCCAAGACTGTTTGCTTTTTAGGTGGAATAAAAAATCAGTTGACAAGAGAGATCTTCATTTTGGTCTAATCTATCAAATAGCTTGACATTGTTTAAGAAATACAATTGCATCATCATCTGAAGCAGTGTTCTCATGTTAGATCTCTGTGTAAATTTTACACACAAAAGGGAAGGCAGGTGGTGGTAGAACCCAGCTTCTTAGTATAATACTTCATAAAAGCTTTGTAGTATTGGTTTGTAATTTATGAATTAGAGTAGCTAATTTTATAAAATTAGCATAATGGAAAAGAATAGTAGCATTTAGACTATTAAACTATTTTAGGCAGTCATGGTTGCTAGTTTGCTATGCTTTAAGTGTCCTTGAGAAGTGTATTTTATTAATACTGCCCTAGTAAAGAACTTTTTCCTTCTAACTAAGCGTATGACTAGTTTTTTGTTGTCTTTTATTGGCCATCAAGAAAGATTTCAGAAAAGTCATTTGTGCCCTTAAATATTTTTGTCTCTTACTGTTAAATGAATATAATCTTACTCTCGAAAATATAAAGAATATAGTACACAAAAAAGTACATGTGTAATTCCTCCCTCAATAGAAATAAATCATTAACATTATGGCATATTTCCCTTTAGTCTTTTTTTAATGCATTTTTTCCATAGATGACATCACATGGTAGGTACACTTAACATAAACTGTATCCTTTTTTCCACTTATCATTATAGCCTCAACATTTTGCTTCTTATGTATAACTTTATTAAACATCTTAACATTTACTTTTTTCTTTCTTTTTGACTGTGCTGGATCTTCATTGCTGCACAGGCTCTCTCGGTTTGCGGGGAGCAGGGGCGCCTGTCTAGTTGCAGTGTGTGGGCCTCATTGGGGTGGCTTCCCTTACTGCGGAGTACAGGCTCCGGGGCGTGGGGGCTTTAGCAGTCGCAGCACACGTACTCAGCAGGTGCAGTTCCCAGGCTCTCTATAGCACAGGCTCCAGAGTTGTTGCACCCTGGCTTAGTTGCTCCGCGGCATGAGGGATCTTCCAGGATTAGGGATCGAACCTGTGTCTCCTTCGTTGGCTTCATCACCGAGCCACCAGGGAAGCCCCTTAAACTTGTTTAATAGCTGCATAGTGTCCTTCCTTGTAGACGAATCCTGTTTTACTTAACAGTTTTCTTATTTACTATTATACAGGTTTCAGTTTTCATTTATAAGAAATAATTTGCAGTGTATTTTTATGTATATAACTCTGTATCTGCATTCTCAGTTATTTTAGGAAGGAGTGATTGGAGGTAAATTCCTAGAAGGGAAATTACCAAATGAGAAGGTATTATTTTTACATTAAAAAATAATGTATTTCTGTTATCAAATCTATCATATTTATTATCAAACATTTTAAGAAGTGGAGCTAAATAAAAAGAATAAACCATAATATTATCACCCAAAGATAACCATCATTAGTTATTTTCAGACCATTTCTGTAATAGATAATTGTTTTCCTCAATACCATACTGGGGAAGGCAATGGCACCCTTCTCCAGTACTCTCGCGTGGAAAATCCCATGGACGGAGGAGCCTGGTAGGCTGCAGTCCATGGGGTCGCTAAGAGTTGGACACTACTGAGCGACTTCGCTTTCATTTTTCCTTTCATGCATTGGAGAAGGAAATGGCAACCCACTCCAGTGTTCTTGCCTGGAGAATCCCAGGGATGGGCGAGCCTGGTGGGCTGCCGTCTTTGGGGTCACACACAGTCAGACATGAATGAAGTGACTTAGCAACAGCGGCAGCAATACCATGCCTCTTGTTTTGCTTGGCTAAAGAGCCTTTAAATGTGTGGTCCATAGAATCCTAAATATATTTCATACAGGTTCTGAAAATTACTTTATTGAAATGGCATGCAGGTATTACTTACTTTAAAAATCTGGAATATAGAAGTGATAGCAAGGACATTGGAAAACTGCTTTTTTTCACTGAAAACAACTCTTTGTGTGCTTGGGGGCTTTTATATTTAGGCATAATTTGTAGACTAAGTACTACCTTAAAATGTAAGTATTTTTAAAGCTTTCCAAATAGTTAAAATACAAAATTGCATTTTTAGAGCAAAGGTAGAAACAAGAGAAGAAATTCCTGATTATG